TCAAGAGAATCCTCGTAGAGAATTGTTATCCAGAACGATTTATTGCAAAATCTATGAATCCCAGACTAAAAAAGCCGCCCATGCTTAGCCTCCAAAAAAACTACTCTATATGAACCTTCAATTCAATGGAGATATATCCGCGGAAACACTAAAAAATCGACTGTCGCGCTCACTTAAGAAAACCTTCTTCACAGCTGAACTACGCGAATAACCCTCTCCACAAAACTTATGATTTGTATGAACGTGAAGGATGAGCTACCACTGCTGACCTCATCAATGTGTATCTATCAATTCACCTGCTCGTATGGAGCCAGGTATGTCGTCCGTACCCGGCGTTCGCTTTCCAAACGTTTCACCGAACACTTACTAACATGGTTTTACAAAGGAGAGAAATGATGCCGCCGCAGCTCCATCTTAGAACATCTGATAGAATCCGGACACCAAGCTACACTCCAAACAAACTTCAAAGTCGTCTACAGAGTAAGAAGTAATCTTCTTAAAGGTGTACGAATCAGACTTCTTCAAACTGCAGAAGCAATGGCGATTCACTTCCTAAGTCCTGAACTCCGCATACAGAAGAAGTTCGTTCAATCACTACACTTGCAATGGACGTAATCTATCTTATTACCCGACTAGTAAATTCTACCTTATCTCTTTTTTCCGTCTCGTCATTAGTATTATTTTGTCTTCTCAATTGTAATATCTTAGATTTTCAACCTTCTTGTTCTCTACCCCCACTCGATTCAATTTCTACACCTCACTACCACTGTTACTGACTTGACCAACGCTCAATTTCTAGGCATTCATTTATATTACGTCATCCAATTTATTCGCTCAATTTCAGTTCTAATTTAAATAGCACTGTTCTCTACCCCACTTCTACATAGTCTCTACTTGTAATTACCTCTGTTGCTACCCTGACCTAAGTTGAAACATTTTTAGTCAATTATATTGTGTCATCTAACTTACTAACTCAATCTTACTTTAGTTGCTGTCTGATTAACCTTGTTTCTATATTAGATCATTCTTTTATTACCTGATCAATTATCTAAACTTGACAAACCTCATGTACACACACACACAAATAATTATATATAAATGTGCTGTACAGCTGCTGAAACTAGGCAACGCAGCGGGACCTGATGGAATGACTCCAGAGGTATTTAAGTACGGTGGAGACAGCTTACTGTCCGGATTAACTGAGGTACTAGGCAGCGTTTGGGAATCAGAAGAAGTCCCATCGGGTTGGTGTAAGTCACTGATTATCCCCATATACAAGAAGGGAGACAAGTCTTCCTGTGATAATCACAGAGGGATTAGCTTGACTAATATAGTATCTAAAATCTTAGGCTCAATAATCATGCGTAGATTGAGTGGTGCTCGGGAAGCACAAACACGAGAGAGCCAGGCAGGCTTTAGACCAGGAAGAGGGTGTATTGATCATATCTTCACCCTCCGACAGATTCTAGAACATGGGCATTCCTACCGGCGTCCAACAGTCATTATATTTCTTGACCTAAAGGCAGCATTCGACTCTGTCGATCGGGAAGTTCTCTGGAGATGCCTGGCTGTCAAGGAAATCCCGTGAAAATATATTGCACTGATTAAGGCGCTCTATTCGTACTCATACAGCCAGGTGAGGGCTTACGGCGAGCTGTCATCTGAACTGATGACGACCAGTGGTGTCCGTCAAGGATGCCCATTATCTCCTTTTCTATTCAACTTCATCATAGATGTGTTAATGGACTTAACCCTAGGTGACTTCAGCGATTCAGGGATTGACTTGCTACCTGGGAATAGTCTTGTTGACTTGGAATATGCAGACGATATAGTCCTTCTAGGCGAAGACGCTGACAAAATGCAGAGTCTTCTAAACACCTTGAACAGCAATCTACGAATGTTTGGCATGCGATTCGCTCCCGCCAAATGCAAGATGATGTTACAGGACTGGACTACATCGACGCCTAGTTTAAAAATAGGAAGTGAAGTGGTAGAGCACGTTGACCGCTTCACTTATTTGGGAAGTACCATCAGCCCCAACGGGCTGATCTCTGACGAAATCTCAGCACGAATACAGGGGGCTCGTTTCGCACTTGTTAGTTTACGCCGACTCTGGCGTAGACGAGATGTTCGACTATCGACCAAAGGGCGGGTGTACTGCTCATCAGTCCGCTCCGTACTCCTGTATGGTTGTGAGACCTGGCCACTGGGAGTGGAAGACATGAAAAGACTAGCTGCCTTTGATCATAGGTGCCTGCGTTCTATTTCCCGTGTAAAGTGGCATAATAAGGTGAGCAACATGGAGGTTAGGCGTAGAGTTCTAGGTAAACAGGGGAAATCAATCGACGAGGCTGTGAAGCTGCATCGACTGAGATGGTTAGGACATGTGTTACGTATGCCAAGTCATCGCCTCCCTCGACGAGCTATGTTAGCGGATATAGGGTCAGGCTGGAAAAAAGCTAGCGGCGGTCAAACAAAAACTTGGCATCAGTCAATGAAATCCATAACAGTTGGTCTTAGCCACGTAGGAAGGTGTAGACTTCCAGGCTGGGGTCCCCGGGACGGCAAAAATCTATGGTTGGAAACAATTGGTGACATGGCTCAAAATCGTTCTCAGTGGCGCAGATGCATCCACTCCTTGTGACTTATGATCTTCAATGAAATTGTTTTGTATTTCTTTATTACTCCTTTGTCTCACACCTCTGCTCACTGTTTCTATTATGCTTTTCTTGTACTTTCTTCTCTTGCTTCGCGTGCTACACGGAATGTGGCGACTTGAACTTCCGCACATTTGTGCAAAGTTCTATGTCGAAAACAGACAGTACAGTTATGTGATTGAATTCGCCGAAAAGAGTGTTTTCGCTGAACGTCTTCTCTTTTTCATATCCCATGTCTAGCAAGATTTTTATGCTACAATTACCTAGTTGACCCCGATCGACTAGTTCGATCTATATAATTGACCTCACTAACAGTCATTACATGCATGGTATTTGGTAAATTATATTACTTTTCTTAATTGGATCTATTCGGTCCTTAGGCCGACAAAGTAAACCTCTGAGATAGTTGGTTGTTTCGTTTATATGCCACCCTAATTCCAGCGTGATTGAGAATTCTACGTAAGGCCTCTGGTATCTCTTCTTTATACAGCAGTGCTACAGAGAGGCTTTGAATTCAATATCATTTTCGTCACAGTTTTTCTATGCTTCTTCTAATATATTTCTGAATAAATCCTGGTGGCTAGTGTGTTATTCACTAGTAATACTACCTTTATCTGTTCGATTTCGTTATTCAAATATTCTGACTTACTAGTTAGGCTGTTGGTCCGATTTATGATATAGACTTTTAACTAAACCCATCTGTACCACCGATTCTGGATGGGATGAATTAAAGTCTAAGTATTTTGCATTAGAGTGTGTCGGCTTCCTTTCTATAAATGCTAGCTAGTATCTAACCACCCACCATCTTTTTTTCCTTTTATTCTAGTCTAGCATGACCAACTCACCTTGTTCGTTTTCTAACTTTATATGTGTAAAAACCTGAGGGATATGTTCAGATTTCAACACAGTGATGGAATGTGCCATCTACCATAACCTAGGAGCAGCAGGTTCTAAGAGCCTTACGTTCCCAACTATTCATAAATATATCTGCACCTATTGGGGATCCCATTTCCTTGTTTATAAAGTTTATTTTTTATTTAAACGCAGAAAAAACTTGGTACAAATATGGAACCAAGAAAGATGCGTCACACAGTTTTATTTCATTTTTTGTGTGAAGGCTGAGACACTGTCCGGGCGCCCAGACCGAAGCAGGTGGTTTTATTAAGGGACCGCCCCCGGAGCCTTTGACTTGGAGTCTAATCCGCAAGGCAGCGGAGCAGTGTCAGGAGCTGCATTCCCATGGTTGCCGGTGACCCCATATGGGTTCATACGCCATCTGATCCGACTGGATTCTGGAGTCCATGTACCCCATGATAACTGCTTCTAGTTTAACCGCTATCCAAACAACCTTCCTGACATGGTAGGACCCGCAGGGACATGAGCTCCAGCCAGTTTAGCTTGTCGGGACATTGCGGTATTCAAGCCTGACCACTACGACCAGGTGGTAGCAGTTGTCGACCAGGATAGTTTATTTTGGAATTTGAATAAAGTCGAGGTTAGACAACATAACTGGACACCTAATGTGATTTCATCAACCGACAGCACAGCTTAGTCCTTCTTCTGAGTTCAAGATCAATGTTCATTTCATTACTAATTGCCTCCAGAGTTGTACTCAATGCGGGAATATCAGTATGTAGACTGGTTATGTCAAAACTAATCACTTGTTTTCGTCTTTTTCTAATTGAATTTCCTCTAGTCCACCTTATTATGTAACTGTATCAAGCTTATTCAACTTCCTTGATATGTTAATGCATGTTTTTTAGACAACACATTTTCACCCCTCTCCACCACCCTCTTCTCACCTAGTTATATACATATATATGACCAGTAGGGTAGAGCAGGTTGAAGATGAGGCAGTAACTCATCGAAGAAGACATCGCGGAATCGTCGCCCTATGTCATGAATCGGCAGAAGTTAGAATTCATGGGCTGGCCATTAAATCGGGTCCCAGTGGCTCAATGGTCTATGAGCTAGCTCATCTTGTAACCAGAAGGTCCTAGGTTCGAACCCCGGTGGCGGTGGGTGCGTACTGCTGGAGAGTCCCAAACTAGGACGGAACAGCTCTCCAGTTTTCTGACTGATATCAAGCTCATGATGAAATCCTTCATCCAATCAAATAAAATCCCCACAAAACCAATACTTGCACAGCTAAGTGATGAATGAATTCACCGCCGAAACGATACTCTTCGCTGAACCACGTGTTTTGTTTTCACTAACGTCTAGATGGGGAGGGGGCGTGGGATTATTCATATTCACAGTTGGTTATCCTGCAAAATACTACACGCGCACTACACACATGATCTCTCGCCTACTACGGTCTACATTGGAAGCAACAAAAAAACAAACAAAAAACAAATGACTCATGAATATTGTGAGAATCCTTAAATGCTAACATTGTATTCAAAAAATTTTTTCTTACACTAGACAAAATGCCCAAATGCGTGTATGTGTAAGATAAAATGCAAAATCAGAAGGGTGTACATAATAACTTTGAATAACAAAAATGGTGACAGCAGAAAGAGAGAGAGAGAGAAAGAAAGACGGGGGTGGAAAAATAAACAAAACGGTTATGAAAAAAATATCTTTAAAAAATCCTATGTCTAGTCATCAATGTCAATCGCAGCAGATCATGTTCCTCCTTCATTTGTACTAACAGTTTATTCGTTTGATCAAGTTTACATTCAAGTTGAGCAAATTTGTACAGTAATTCATTATGAGACCAGTTTAATTCAGACATCATAGATGATAAGCGACTATCAAGATGCTTACTTAATGCTTCAATTGGTATATGTGGTGAATCCGCAGTTGTATGTCCAGTTTCTCCTAGTTTCTCTGTATCAACGGTACTAGAATGACGACTAGACGTATCTATCGGCATCGGCGGCAAACTTTTATTATCTTTTAATATTGAATCATACGGATGACTTGTAAGCGATTTCAATGATGATGATGATGATAATGCTAATGACTTCTGGTTTATGCTATCAACAGTCACTGCTTCAGATGTATCACTGCTTATCAGTAAACTTTGATCTAACAATGATCGACTTGAATTATCAATATTGGTGAGTGAGTTTGATTCTGGTTGATCGAATTCATGCAGTATTTCTGCCCATCTTGTTTGTGATTTAGACTGTTCTGTTTTTGCCGTTGTTTCTGTCATTGTTGTTGTTGCCATTGTATTACTTAATTCGCTTAATGCCTGACGAATTTGACTATTATTACATGTTAGATGAGTACTATTCATTGATTCACTGTTAGAATTCTCATCGGTGATTTGAGAAGAAGTTGATAAATTGGATAATACCGCCTTCTTTGATGTAAATGAATCCCTAAAGGAAGTAATAAAGGATAGAAAATAAAAAAACAATACTCAAATTACTGATAATGAATACGTTAAATCAATAGTTCTACCAAATTCTAATTAAGTGCAAACGGTATAAGTGTGCAAAAGTATCTTCGATTCTTGTTGATAAAAAAAACAAACATCTTAAAATACTAACAAATTGGCTGAAGAGGTAGGCCGGCAACAAAAACAGAACTCGAAGTGAACATAGAGAAGATGGAGGTGATGAAGACAACCAATGGACCGCACCAATCACTATCAACGGGAGAGCCTTAACAGAAGTTACCTCCTTTACTTATCTAGGCAGCCAGCATTGTTTCAACTACAGGCGGAACGGATAAAGATGTCAAAGCCAGCTAGCCAGTCAGTCAGATTCGGAAAGGCAAGATACGCGTACATCAACCTGAAACCAGTTTGGGAATCTTCTGCTCCACTCAGCATAAGGAACAAGATTCGCATCTTCAACACCAATGTCAAGTCGGTCCGTCTATACGGGTCAGAAACTTGGCCAGTGTGTCACGTAAAGGATTTCCAACAGGTTGCAGACTTTCATCAACAGCTGTCTTCACTTCATAGTGAAGACTAAATGGTCAGCAAGAATTAGTAAAAAGATACTGTAGGAACAAACCAACGAAGAAACGATCACTCAACGATGAGAGTCCCCACTTACACAAGGACTGGAGGTCTAAATAGAGTTCTCCAGTCTTGACCTCACCAGAAGTGTATGTAAGGGGGTGAACATATCTCTGGTGATTCTAGCCGCATCATATAGCTTGTATTTTCAGTAAGAAAAGCATTACACATTTATAATGCATTATGAAACTGATTAGCTCAAATAATTGCTACAAGATTTTACTATTCTTAATACATTAATCAAAATACTTACATAGGAGTCCTGGTAGCCAGGTGCATCTATAACACACACAGACCTCAGTCACAACTAACCAAGGAAGAAGACAATGACGGCGAGGAAGAGACTTGAATTAACCGGGTTACAAGCTAATTATCATCGTTTATAACAAGTCTAGATAGCCGGTCTTCCTCTTGTTCCAGTGATGCCACGTCAACGTTTCTATCTGAAAAAGAAGAAAGAGAAACTTGTTTAGTGGCATTATAGTGGTTTCTATTGCATTACACATCGACCGTACGCCGTTTTAGCGCAACTAGCATGCACCTTTGAACACTGGCTGAGTTGCCCGCGATTGGCCAGGTTGACATTATATTCGAACTTACAACAGCGGCACTTCTGAGTTCCAGTTACCCTATACTTTCGGCTTATTTCGTATATATACTGAAATAGTTGAATTCCAATACTTAATAGCCAAGTTATTTATTTCTTATATATTCCAATATCGTTTTTACTAGCTAGTGTAAACCAATTTGATTTCTTTGTGCTCACTTCTTGATTGTGAGGTAAAGGTTCCTGGACTTCGGTAAAGTTCTGCATAGTTTGTCCCACCACTCGACTGTCGTAGCTTTGGTTGACTCCCAAAAGGAGTGGCGCTGGGATTAATTATATGTTGTTTGTAGTACGCGGTGTGTTGAGGTCGCGCTGCCATTGCGAATTTAGTTGGTCTTTTCACCAGTTAGTCCTCCGGTGTCGTCGATAAAAGAAAAGAGATAATAGTAGCAATAATATTAGACATAATTAGTATGGGCTATTCAGACCGAATGATTGAAAAATAAAACGTAGGAACAGGCAGCTAATTAAATTTGAAGTCGATATATATATATAACCTCGCCAAATTACTAGCTTACTAGGCTACTACCTTCCTAGTTTTCTAGCCGCTCCCAAGCACGGGTAAAGAGGGAGGGTTATGGCGTGGTGCTAGCAACTCCACCCCCGTAAAACAAACAAATCGCTACAGAAACTTCAACGAATAAATACAATAAAAATCCTAAAAACATAAACAATAACTTTATTTTTCGCTGGAATCGGGGAAGTGAAATGACGCAGGTCGGTGACAGCCTTCGAGAAGCCAGTCAGCCGATGTGCCTTCTTTCGATGAGAGCAAAACTAAGGATGGATACCTGGAATGTTCGTACAATGTACGAAACTGGAAAGGCTGCCCAGATAGCCGCTGAAATGGGAAGGTACAGAATAGAAGTGTTGGAAATCTGCGAAAGCAAATGGAACGGAACTGGAAGGTGCCAACTTCCAACTGGAGAGACAATAATCTACTCCGGCCACCCAGAGGACACCCACGAGCACACCGAGGGAGTGGCCATCATGATGCCACCAACAGCAGCCAAAGCTCTCATGCAGTGGGAACCAATCTCCTCCAGGATAATGACAGCCAGGTTCAACTCAAAAGGAAGGAAAGTTACAGTCATTCAATGCTATGCGCCTACAAACGTCTCAGAACAAGAGAAGAAGGAGGCGTTCTACAGACAACTACAAGCAATAATGGACAACGTCCCAAATGGCGATATCAAAATCCTGATGGGCGACATGAATGCGAAGCTGGGAGGAGACAACACACGAAGAGAACTCACTATGGGTCGAGAGGCCATCGGCGAAATGAACGACAATGGTGAACTCTTCTCAGACTTCTGCGCCTTCAATGATTTGGTGATTGGTGGCAGCGTTTTCAAACACAAGGATATACACAAGACGACATGGATTTCACCAGATGGAAACACCAAAAACCAAATAGACTTCATCTCAATTTCAAGAAAGTGGAGACGGAGCCTACTGGACACAAGGTCGAGGAGAGGAGCAGATGTGGGTTCAGACCACTATCTAGTACAAGGGACTTTCAAGGTGAAACTAAAAGCCTCGAGGATAGCTGGGGATAGGCCACGATGCAAATTCAACCCTCAGAAACTGAACGACACAACCACAAAAGACACTTTCACTGCAACTGTCAGAGCAAAGCAAGAAACACTACGCGACATCACTGAAGAATCATGCGTGTAAGAACGTTGGAAGTCTCTGAAGGCGATTCTCAACGAAACGTGTTCAACGGTTCTAGGAAGAAAGAAGAAACAAGACAAGGAATGGCTCTCAACGGACACTTGGAAATTAATGGAACAGAGGAGAATGGTGAAAGAGAAAATGATTCAATGCAAGGACGGACAGGAGAAGGAGACGCTGAGCTCAACTTACACAGCACTGGACAACGAAATGAAGAAGAGTGCTAGGAAGGACAAAAGACGATTCTACGACAACCTGGCCACTGAAGCTGAGAAGGCAGCAGGCAAAATAGACCTGAGGACATTACATCAGACAACCAAATCTCTATCCGGGAAGAGATCAACACAAGTGAAAGCTGTAAAAGACAGCCGAGAGAACCCAATTACCGAGGAAGAAAAACAGATTAAACAATGGGCGGATCACTTCAAAGGACTCTTGAACCGACCACCACCTGCAACCCGTCCAGAAATACCAAGAACAGCGCGCACACAACTGCAAGTTGACACCAATCCTCCAACGAAAGCTGAAGCGTTGAAAGCAATCAAGCTTCTGAAAGCTGGAAAAGCAGCTGAACCGGATGGAATACCCCTTGAAGCACTGAAAGCGGGCCCAGAGACTACAGCAGACATGCTGACTCCATTATTGCCAAAGGTCTGGAAGGAGGGAAAGCTGCCTACTGACTGGAGAAAAGGTTACCTCGTGAAACTACCAAAGAAGGGCAACTTACGCCTCACTCTGAAAGAACTGGCGAGGAATCATGCTCCTGTCGACGCAAAGTAAAATCCTGAGTCGCATCATCCCGGAGAGAATAAAGGACGCACTGGATGCAGAAGTCCGACCAGAACAAGCTGGATTCAGGAAAGTCAGGCAAATCATGTTCTGACCAAATTGCAACTCTACGCATCATCACCACAGAACAAAGCATGGAATGGCAATCAAACCTCTACCTCAACTTTATAGACTTTGAAAAGGCCTTCGAAAGCGTTGATCGCGAAGTAATTTGGAAATTACTCGAGTACTGCGGCGTACCCCAAATATTCATCAACGTTATTCAACAGCTGTACGACAGCGGCACATGTCAAGTGATCCACAACGGAAAACTCAGCGAGGCGTTTGGAGTAAACGTAGGAGTCAGGAAAGGGTGCTTATTATCGCCCACGATAATATTCCTAAGACTTACAAGCGAAAACCGACAAACTGGTCGAAGAAGCAACCGGCGAAGACAGGACTCCAGGTGAATATAGACAAGACGGAGGTTAAGAAAATAACCAACCAACAACAACAGCAGCGACATCCAGCGCCAATCACCATCAACGGGAGGGATTTGAAAGAGTTCACTTCATTGACCTACTTATCTAGGGGGCGTTGTCTCAACTACAGGAGAAATGGACGAGGATGTCAAATCGAGAATCGAATCGGGAAGGCGAGAAACACATTCATCAACCTGAAATCAATCTGGACATCTTCATCACTCAGCATCAACAACAAAATTCGGTCGGATTTTCAATACAAACGTCAAGTCAGTCAGCTCTTCTATACGGATCAGAAACTTGGCGAGCGGGTGACAAAGAATATTTCCAACAGCCTGTTGCAGACCTTCATCAACCAACAACTGTCTTCGCTGGTTCCATACTGAAGATCAGATGGCCGGACCGGAAAGAATCACCAACAAGAAACTATGGGAAAAAACAAAACAAGAACCAATCGCCAACCAAGAAATATGCAGGAGAAAGTGGAGATGGATCGGACACTCTCTGAGGAGACCTCTGGGTGACATCGCGCGTCAGGCCATTGCTCGAGTGGAACCCGAGAGGGAAGCGGCGTGTGGGACGTCAGTGCAAGGGTGATATGGAGGAGATCGTGTGAAGAGGAGTTGAAACAGTATGAACTAACATGGATGCAGGTGAAAAGCACAGCAGAAGACAGAAGCAAGTGGAGACGTTCAGTTGAAGCCCTATGTTCCACTAGGAACTCAATGGAGCAGTAATATATATATATATATATTTATGTGCCTAATGTCGACAACAATATTAAGTTTGAGTTTAGTTGTTCGAACAGTCAGGTGAGTAAGACAGAGGGAATATGAAGAAGTAAAACAATGAGTTCAGATATCTACCGATTAATAGTGTATAGGATTTTAAGAGGACAAGCCGTTTGGACGCAGTCCTTGTATCGTCGCAAGATTGTCCTGCCTTCGCTTAAAGCTGTCCACAGACAGTGCCGTAGCTGCATCACGCGATAAGGAGTTCCAGGGAGGCAAAACCCCCAGTGCCATTGTTTCGGTGAATTTGGTCATTTGTAATCCTGTAGGATTCAATCAGGTACTCCTAATCCAATGGTGGCTAAGAGTGAAGAGACTTAATTTCTTTAGCCCTTCATCATACGGTTTGTTCTGGAGACCCATCACACTTTTTGTCGCCCGTCTTAGGACTCTTTCCAAGAGGTTGGCGTCTCTTCTAAGCAATCGGGGTACAATCATATTGTGCACTTCAAGGTACGGTCTGATGTATGTTTCGTATAACCTCAGAGAGAGCTCAGGAGTGAGTGCACCTGACTGTCCATGACCTCATATGCCCTCGCTACATGCCCGTGTAATTCACACTCGTGTCCGTTTTTTCCCTTAGAACTAAGCCTTAGTCACGTTGTGCAGGACAAGCTTTCATTGAACGGGGTGTAACTTGCATTCTGTGGCCTACAGGTGCGCAATTTCACTACTTCGCACTTTTTCAGGTTGAAAGTCATACCGTTGGCCATCGCCTAGTCTTCCAGAAGTTCAGGTCTACCTGCAGCCTATCTGAGTCCTCCGAACACTTTACTGCTCTCCAACTGTTAACGTGTTCAGCGTAGAGAAGAGTTAGGCAAATTTGACGGCATGGTAGATCAATGATAAAAATCAAAAGCATCAGTGGCCCTAGGATAGTTTCCTGCGACACTCCTGATGACGGGCTGTGCCAGGGTGATCGAACTCGATTGATCTTGGCTCAGAATTTCCCTTCATCTAGGTAGACCTTCAACCATGACAGGAGCGACTCACCTTTACCTGCCTGGCTTATTTTGTGCAGGAGAAGGTGATGGTGAACTGAGTCAAATGCCTTCTCAAAGTCTAGGTAAATCATATGGTGTCATTGCAGTTCAAGATTGAACGATCAATTCATGGTTGTGTGCTCAAAACCAACTTCCCCAATTTTCGCGGAGGCATCAACGTCTGATCGGTCGCTGTTCAGAAAGAAGTCAGCAGTAAACCATCAGAAGAAATATTGCGATTTATTATTGTAATATTTGTTCACGGAACTCAGTTAATACATTATTTTTAAATGTTGGTGTAACAATTAGGAATCCTCAAGTCACCAATTGGTCTTTTGGTTTTTCGTCCCTTCTTACTAAGCGTTTCTGAGAAACTTCAAGCAACAGCGTGGGCCCGAGCGTAGCATGAATGAAGTATGTGGATATTTGACCATTTACAATGACAAATGATTTTCAAACATTATTGGTCCAGTATCTTTCAGTTGCCTAGTTAATAACGAATTAACCTTCCCCACGACGCAACCTGGATTTCATTTGTGGAATATACTCCTTTACCAATGGAAAAGTATCAATTTGTAATACAAAGTCACGATTCTTTCCTATTACCCAATTTGGATATAAATCAAAAATGAGATTCGGACTTGTACACACCTAAGTTATATTGTGGAACTACTTCAAGCTTTATTTTTTCCCAAGTAT